ATATATATATATATATATATATATACACACACACACTCACACACACACACACACACACAATGTATCATGGGTTGCACAAAATATTAAGCAGCAGTTTGCAACATTAATAATATAAGCAGAACCAAATCAGCATATTAGAATGATTTCTGAAGGATCATGTGACACTGAAGACTGGATGAGTGATGCTGAAAATTCAGCTTTGCATCACAGGAACACATTTCATTTTAAAATATATTCAAATAGAAAAGAGTTGAATTTGTAATAATATTTCACAATATTATACAGTTTTTACTGTATTTTCGATCAAATAAATGCAGCCTAGGTGAGTAGAAGAGACTTCTTTCAAAAACATAAACACAAAGTTTTTTAGACACTGTATCCAAGTGTCAAATTACATCTTTGGCGCATAATGAGTAAAAAATTATCCCGATCTCTTATGGTTTACACTACAATAATGTAGATCTAATTATGGCTGCTTTATTTCACATTTCAGGGTTAAGGCCTTACAAGCCCTATGAGATCTCTATTTATCCCAAATATGTTGACAGGATTGGACGTCCTCTAACCTTAATGGCATACAGCAGTCAGAAAGGTGCGTAGTGCTTGGAAATCAGTAATGAATATCTCAGAGCTTCATGTAAATTGGGGAAGTGATGTGCAATAAAGCAAAGCTGGACAATGATACAATACTTCCATCTAGTGGGCTCAGACTTACATTTTCATATATTATTACAGCACCCTCTGTGGCCCCAGAGTTGAATGTTACGGAAATAAGTCATTCATATATCAAACTTCACTGGGATGAAGTTCCACTTGAGCAGAGAAATGGGATCATTCAAGGATATACCATTTCCTTTTGGCATGAGAGGGACAAAATCAAAGGTATTCAAGGATTTAAAGTTGATAACAGATTTGTGGATGGAAGATTGGAAGTTTTTATTATTATTATTAACCATAATGTTTCTATTCTGTTTCAAGTTATAACGACTGAGAAGACCAGAATTGTGGTGAGAGATCTTCAACCACTTACCAAATATTATGCCCTTGTGACTGTTCATACGATGGGTGGAAGTTTAAATGGATCAGTTGTGACCCTAGCAACTGGAAAAATTGGTGAATATTTATTTTATGACCATACCGATCACATGATCATACTGTTTAAATATATAAATATATATACACTCATACATAACTAAATGTACTTTATCAGTTACTATGAAAGTATGAAAATTCAGATGCAGTGATTATGATTTGTAAGTTGTCATTGAAACCTTATTTGGCAATTACATATTACTCTCACATACACATACATATGAAAAGCAGTGATGACATTTTATAAAATAAAATAACTGTTATATATATATATATACACTTTAAAAAATGACAGTGAATTTAACGGTAAAAGACTGTAAAAATGCTACAGTAAAAACCTGTTAAATGGTTAATGGTAAATTCCCCTACTATATACGGTGAAAAACTGTATTGGACATTACATGTATTGGACATTAATTTTACGGTAGTATACCGTTTTTGGAAGTGAAAAAGACAGTATAATTTACAGTGATTAACCGTAAATTGACATTCCCAGAATTCCCTGTGTTACATTTCAAATTTGATGTTTTTTTTGGTTGAAATAACTATATTTCTTAGTTTTTTCTTAATAGTTTTGTATATTAGGGTTGTGTGTTACACCTAATGTACAAAACTGAATGTTTATTGCATTATTTCAGTTTCATGTGGGTTACCATGATGGTGTTTGGTGTTTGTGTGAATGACACTGTGCACCTTCTATACATATTATTATTTAAAAGCTGCTAAAGTTTCCATTGATTCAATTGGTTTCCATTGATTGTACACCAGAATCTCAGTGAATGCAGACTTTTATTTTTTTAAAAGTATGAATATTCAGACACAGTGAATGTCTTTTCATTATTGGTTTGACATTATTGAAAATGTTTTTCAGATGGAATTGAAATGGTGCTGTTTGTTATCCCAGCATGCATTGGGTTATCACTTCTCATCATCATCGTTGTGTTTGCCTGTGTTGGGAAAAATGAACGGTGAGCATCCACAGGCTTGTTATTATTGTGTACCTAAGGCCAGTGCTATTATTATCATTTAATTTATGACTGTTTTTCATAGTGTGAAGATGTGTTTGTGGCCTATAATTCCTGATCCTGCCAACAGCAGTATTAAGAGGTGGACCGACACTGACTCGTTGCAGGTATGAGAATCTGGCGTATATATCATTTTCATAGATCGCTCAAAATCTGAAATAGATTTCAATACATAATAATCAAATGGCTTCAAAAGTCAACCAAACTGCTTAATAAATTCATATCTTAACATGTTTTTGTCCAAGGGCATGCCTCACTTTAAAGAAGACATGGAGCCTGTGTTGGTGTATATGTCCCACTTCAGTCTTCTTGATCTGGCTGAGAACGAGCCATTCAAGAGTGACTATGTCAAGGAGAACCAGTGGTCACATGATATCGACAGCCATGATGAGAGTCATCCCTCATTCCAGACCTGTGTCAGATATGATACGGAGCATGACAAGGATTCTATCCCTTATGCCACAGTTGTTTTCGGTGGTCCGTATCAAAACCATTCATCCTCTCGACCAGCCTACGTTCGCTCCGAGTCCACACAGCCTCTGTTAGGGGCGGACGACCCTGGCAGCCCCCCACCGTATGAGAATGTGTCACCAAGCGGCAGTGTTTCTCAAATACAACACTTCACTACATTCCCTCAGAAATCCACTGAAAGTGAGGAGAATGAAGAACTTTGGGATGAATTTCCTATGCTCAAATCCTTAGAGATTAGTGATAATGTTCATATCTAAAGACAAATTCATCCAGGTCCAAACCTGACTGATTTGGCTCACATGAGAGATCTGTTTATGAAAGTGATTAGCAAAAAGTATCTGCCTGTGACTAATAGGCCCACTCAGTTCCTTTTTGCTTTCGTTTCATTATTAACTTATCGCCAGGGACTGCATATAGATTAAACAGATAACATATAGTAGAACAGACCAGACCACTGGTATTACAATGAATGGGAGAAAATGGAACTCCCAAAATGGCAGCTCTAATAAAGTAAGTCCCACCTTTTCCAAGTAAAAGAGCCAGTCAACAAAATCACTTCCTGGTGTTTATATAAAACTTGAGAAATCGCATAGATGCATTTTATGTTATCCTGCACTTCCGAGTTCATTCTTTCATTGTAGCTAAGCAGAATGTCACAAGTACATTCATGTGTTCTTAGCACTGAGAAACTGTAGCAAATTTCTGCAGCATTTCAAAAATAATAATATTAAGGATAATGCTACATGATATCCAGTATAATGGGTTAAAATGAGCACATTTCTGGTTTGTTATTATTTCTGGGGCTGTGGGCGTATATGAGACAAAAAATGCTGGCCAACACTGATGTATGTTACTTTTTTTTTTTTGGCTGTACTTTTAATTCAAAATATTTTGATGATGTGATAAATGTTACATGTGGCAAATGTAAGGTAACATTAAGAAGTAAATGAACATGTTATACATTCACCTCTTGTATGGTGCTTTGCATTTTGTTTAAATATTTTAAAAGAATACAGATTGTGGTGACATCTGACAATGTTAAAACACTTCCTATGTAAAGGACAAAATAAATGATTTCTCCATTAATAATGTTATACTGGAATGTGTGATGGTGCAATGTTTTCAGTATGCAAAGTTTGTTAGAAAACATTCTTTTCTTGAAGCTCTGCAGAAGCTCAGCATGGTCTCTGAGTTTATAGACAGTATAGCTTTATAAAGGTGATGGTGGGTTACAAACCAGCATGAAAAGTGCAGTACAGAGTGTTTAGCTTCATGACTTCAATGTATTATACTAAATATTAAGAATTAATTATGTCTTGCAGATGTTTCAAGGCAATTCCAGTTAGTTCTGCAATATATGCCAATAGGGAATTTGAGATGGTTTTTTTTTTTCCCTGTCAATGGTTGTGTTTTAAACAAATTGGTTGAGTGACTGGTTTAATGACTCATTCAGTCACTTGTTTTGTTCCTGAATAAATCAGCCATTTGAAAAAATGGGTTGAATTAATGATTCAATAACTCACTCAAAGAGACTTACTTACTTTTAATCTGCAGAAAGAGTCAAAAATCTGAAAATTCCCCACCACTAATGCACATACTAACACTCTTGTCTGGAACACAAGTGGAACGATACAAACAGTGAGATGTCTCAATGCTGTTGAACCAGAGGTCCTATATCAGAACTTCTGTAAGACAGTAGCTTTAGCTGTCTAAAGCTATATTAAAAAAAATAATAATAATACATTCTCAGTACTTAAAGGTATAATTACAATGTAACAAGGAAACCATAAAAGAGTGAAAAAAATGATATTACAAATGTGTTTTAAACATATGAACTAACAATCAGCAATTACCTCTTAAGTTTCACAAAACTCAATTACACAACATTCTTTTGAGACAGACATCCTAACGTGCAGTTTGTTGAGTCAGATGCAGATTCTGTAATCGCTCTGGGCTGCATTTCCCAAAAGCATCATAAGCCTACGTAGAGTGGCACCAATTGTCTCTACGATCATCTCTTTTACAGTGCTTTTGGTAAGTGCAGCCTTTATGGATTCAGTGAGTTCATTTAGTGAATGATTCATCAGACTGATGTGAGTTTGTGAGTCATCTTGAATGATTCATTAATAAACCCAGTTTCTTAGAAAGGTGTTTTTCTTGCATTACCATTATTTTTGGTACATTTTTGTTTTTTTACATTGAATTTAATGTAATACAATATTGTTTTTGAGTGCAGGTTACAAAAACCTCTCAATTCAAGATGCTAATTAAAGGACTGGAGTGGTATGAATTACTTGTGAATTATTGTGACGTTTTTATCAGCTGTTTGGACTCTCATTCTGATGGCACCCATTCACTGCAGAGGATCCATTGGTGAGCAAGTGATGGAATGCCACATTTCCCCAAATTTGTTCAGATGAAGAAACAAATGCATCTACATCTTAAATGGCCTGAGAGACAAATTAGAGTGCACCTTTTCCAGGATTTACCTGATTGAAATAAATCGTCCTGTGTTATTTGCCACTGTTAACAACATCACTGTGTTCTTGCAGGTGAGAAGACTTGTTTCAGACTACAAGACTGCAGAAATTAGCATAAAACATCAAGGGCCCTATCATACACCCGGTGCAATGCAGCGCCAGGCACGAAGCAAGTGTTTTTTGCTAGTTTCAGCCCGACACAGTTATAATTTTCACGTTCTGCACCAAATTATTTAAATAGCAAATGCATTTGTGCCCATTTGTGCGCCCATGGGCGTGCTGGTCTGAAAACGAGGTGTGTTCAGGCGCATTGTTGGCGCGTTGCTATTTTGAGGCAACTGAAATAGACAGCACCATTGACCAACAAAAACCTGGTCTAAAGTCAATGGTGCAATATTTTTTTTTTGTTAATTAAAGAGTGTGTTAATAATATGTGCCTATAGGCAGGTGAACAACACGCGTACACTGTGTGCTTATTACACACACAGGGACACGCAGCAGTGCAAAAACATGCCAAATATAAAAAAAAATTAAAGGATTACAATGTAAAAGATTATTATTGTGCCTCATAGATGGTTTGCTCGCGCGCTTTAACCTCATGCACGAGCAGAACCTTTTTTCTCTCTGGAGAAGCGTTCAGTCTTTGCTCTTGCAAATTCTGCCATGTAAATAGCGAATCCGCCATGGCATGTGCGCAACTGGCCTTTAAAGGGAATGAGAGATGAGACTCTGATTGGTTTATGGCACATTATGCCCAAAACACACCCATTACTCATTAAGAAAATAAGGACAACCCTTTTAGACCATGCGCCGACCATTTTTCCCGTCCTTTAACTAGCAAAAGTGGATTCGGACACACCCTAAGTGCACCTGTGCCGTGCGGTTTAGACCAAGTGCTTAGATAGTTAACATATGGCCCTAAAACTGTAGGTGTATTCTGTAAGATTCTGACACGTTTCATTTAATCAAGCAGTCTTAGGTCTTAGTGGCACATCCCACCCTCTCCTTGAATGTGAGCACTGATACAGAGACAATCCTGTTGAAGCTATATGTTGGAAGTCATCAGTGGTTGACCAGTCAGTCAAATAATCATCAGTTTTTACAGTCGTTCATATTTCAGAGCTTTCTTCAATAAATACATATTTGGTCTGCAATGTATCAAACACATTTTATCCTAAGTATCATGCAATGAACAGAGTATCTCTGCATGAACAGAGATTTCCAGTAGTGATGTTACATATGACGGTCGCCATGATTTTGCCAAGTAAGACATGTTCCTGGATGAAAATCTTTTGTGAAATGATAGCTGATAACAAGGGTGTAGAAGCACCTAACCCTGATCATAAGCCTAAAACAGATATTTCCTGAAAAGTTATCCCTCAATTCTGATTGGTTAATTGGAATTTTGTTGCAGGATCAACAAGGATGTTGATCCAGGAACATGTTGTACTTGGTGAAATCACGGTCACCACACCACACCACACGGACACTGAAGCTTCAAAGCATGTATCAAGTACAGCACAATTTCTCAGGAAGCTCCGTGCCGGAGCGCATATTGTTTTCAGAGAAACACACGATCAACGAAAAACGAAGCCTCACTTTCTTACCAATCATGTGAATGCTTCACTTTTGGAGCTTTTCCACTGCACAGCACAGTACGGCACGACACGGCTCACTTTCTGGCGTGTTTCCACTTCAAGGTATGGCTCGCTTAAATAGTACCACCTCGGTTGAGGCTATATGAATAGTTAACCATTCAAGTAACGCATCAGACCTTCACATACATCCCTGCCCTCATCCTCTACAGCTAGTGCAAGTGCCACCACAGGCTTCGCTGCTGAAGGTGAATCCCATGCATTCTCGTAGGCCTCTCCATGACTCTCAAAATGGTTATGTAGAGCACAGCATGTCAGCACCATAGATTTCACAAGGTTGACCGCACAGTCATTTCTTTTCATAAGGCAACGCCATCTTCCTTTTAATCTTCCAAAAGCATTGTCAACCACTACACGTGCTCTGCAGATTTTCATGTTGTAGACCTGCTGTTCTGCTGTCAGCAGTCAAGTGTCAACGAATGGTTTTAAGAGCTAATTCTGCAAGGGATAGGAAGAGTCGCCTAGGATGTAGTAGCCAACATTCACCCCACCAATGTTTCTGGTGTATGTGGTTTCCCATAGTCTGGACAGTGTCAAAACCCGAGCATCATGCAGGCTTCCAGGCAGTCCTGTGAAAACATTCCAGAAAAGTCCCTTTCCATCTACAATACCTTGAAGGATGATGGAGCGCCAGCCTTTATGGTTGAAACAGTCAGCGATAGTCCTGTGGTGCTATGATGGGTATGTGTGATCCATCAATAGCACCAATACACTGTGGGAACCCCTCACCTGTTGTAGGCAGCCTTTTCTTGAAACTTCTCCTGATCTAGAAAACAAATGTGGGTCCCACTTTATATTAAGTGGCCTTAACTACTATGTACTTACATTTTAATTCGTCATTTGGTACAATGCACTTATTGTGTGTACATACATGTTTTTACATTGTACTTATATTTTAAAAATACCTGGCTGCTTGTAATTACATCTGTAATTAATTTATTTAATTACATTTAGAATTACACTGTTGACCCATCCCTTACTCCTTAACCCACCCTTAATCCTACCCATACCACCAAACCTGACCCTAACCTTACCCATATCCCACCTCAATAGCAGCAAAAGTGTTTTGCAATACAATATGAACACAATACATACACTGTACATATTTTTTGATGTAAGTACATAGTAGTTAAGGCCACTTAATATAAAGTGGGACCCGAATTTGTTTTGGTACCCACAAGGTCTCTGCAGCAGCACAGAACTCCTGAACACACCGACACACTGTTGTTATGCTTACTCCAAAAAGATGTCCAACACTTCTGTACTCAGAGCCGGTTGCAAGCTTCCACAGTGCGATGGCTACTCTCTTCTTTAAAGGTACACACACACAGAGAAGTTTGTGTCCCGTCTCTCCATCGCTGGACGCAGGTTGTTGCACAAGTAGGTAAATGTTTCATTGGACATTCTAAAGTTCTCCAGCCACTGAGAGATTGTAAAGCCGGGGACAATAACATCCTACCACTCGGTTAAGCTCGGTTAAATGTCCAGCGAGATGGTCTGTGGCGGGGCGACTTTGCAAAATATGATAGATCTGAAATACACAAAATACTTTTTTAATACGCAATATTGGCAGCTAAGTTCATTATATGCTTTGTGGTGATATAGCGATTGAGACCCTAAACACATTGCTAGATGCAAGATTAGCTTACCCTCGTGCAAACCAAGTGATGTTGCCGTCTACGCTTTGCTGTACGAGTTCCCAGACTCTCTTGTATTTTGCTTTGTTGCCATCATCCTCTTTTGAAACAAACTTCTTCGTCTTGCAGTGAAAAACATCCACATGCCGAGAATCAAGAACACCATTTCATCGATAGGCTCCATTGCTCTTGTTTTGCGCGTTTACAATGATGTCACGGCAGCAGAGGCGGCCCAACTAGTCTATAATCCCACCCACTAATTGCAGTGGAAAAGCAAGCGAGCCGAGCCGAATCGTACCATGCAGTGCAAAAGCACCACTTGTGTCAGAATATTTGAACCCAGACCAGTTCTCTACTGGTTATTGAGGTTCAAGTCCATTTGCTAAGATTTTTTTTTTATATATATAAGCCTATGGCGAAAAGCTTCAAAGATTCAAGAGTCCTCGTTTCTCCATCCATAATTTCAAGAGCAACCTGGTTTGCTAGTATAACAGAAAGTGCTTTGCTATAATAGATTGTTTTTACCCAATTAAACTTTTCATCCCCTTCTAAACTGACATCAGACCTGTGATACAAGTTTACAGATTTCAGTTGAGACACAACAGCACTAGAGGGACAAATTGTATTTCTGGAGTTTACATTTTTGTAGGGAAATTTAATTCCAGTTTGATAATTTAACATATTACAATTTTATCTGTACATACGCTGAGATAAAATAAACTTTAATTCGGCAGTCAGATTAGCATTTCCAAACAGCAATAACTTTACTTGTAAAATAGCCCATCTCTTGCAACCTGATTTACTGACCCATTTCAATTTGCAATATGAAGACACAGCAACAAAACTGTTTGCATGGATTGCTTTTTCAATTAAGTTATGTTTTAGCTGCATTACACAAGTGCTCTAAATCTTCCATGTCATGAAAATATCTGAAAAACAAATGCAGAAAACACAACTGATCATATTTTTATTGTAAAAACTAACCTAGGAGAATTATTGAGCATTATTTTAAATTACAAAATCATAATAATAATAATAATAATAATAATAATAATAATAGAAATGTTGAGAAACAAACTTCTGATGTTTGTCAGTGCAGGCTTTTGATTGTCCCATTAGATTTCTACAAATTATAAGGAAATATAGAAGAACGGCTTGCAGCTTTTGTTTTGACTGGAAAGTGCATTTTATATGCATAGGTATAATCTTTAAGTATGTGTATAAGTAATCCATGTTTCACTTCAGTGTCCCAATCAGCCCTGAAAAATTTGAATTTCCTCTTCACTGAAGTCCAGCTGTCTGACCAATCTGTGAGAGAGTATCCATTGAAAAAAACAAATCAATACCTTAACCAAACAGTACAAAATGCCATAACTCAAACAGCTTCTGATATATCAAATGTTTGTGTGTGTAAACCATTAAAAAAAATGACTCACTGCACTGCTAACTCTGTGAATCTGGTTGGGCCGCACACACACACTAAACACTTGGCTTTTTCTGGTCTCTCCAGGAAGTTCCGCAGCATACAAGCATCTATCCGCCCTCTTCTGCCTTTCCAAGAGTCTGTAGGCTCCGACAGAACGTACTCCACCTCAAACCTAAGAAACATACATGCTAGTTAGGATGCTGCCTAATGACCAATTCAAATCTGAATTGATTCCCACTGAGATCACTCATTGTCATTCAAAAATGTGACATTACTGATAGAATTAACAGTCAGATATACAATGGGATAAATGATACCTTTCCTCTTTTGTACAAAGTTCATCCAGCTGAGAGCACCAAAGTATGTCCCGCTCCTGACGGTTAAAGAACATCAGCTTGGTTTTTCTGAAAAGATAAACATAAATTATTAATATTATTATTATGGTTATCATTTTGATAAGTCAACTAATCTAGCAAGCATTTTACAGTTAAACAATCATTTTCTAAAAAAATCCTAAAGAAAGAAAGCCCCAAGAATTAAAAGGCATCTATCACTAATACAAATATCCATGATGGCTGCTTTAACAGTCACTGTTTGGCATTGACAGCTGCATTTGCTTGTATGTGAGAGTCTTCAAAGTTTTGTTCAAATAGCTGTTTTAATACAAATCTGTATGAATGAACAGTTGAAGACAAAAGCATACTCAGGTAACCGTAGCAACAGTATCAAAGATGGCAATGTCCATAACATCATGAAATGTTACGCCCCTTACCACATTGTGATGCCGTGTCCCAGAGCGACGAGACAAAAACATTAAAACCCATTATAAACGAGGCATTTGTTGCATCCAGTGGGGACATAATTACGGATTATAATGACTTATACTGTCTTTTTACACGTTGCGTTGCATCGCGCCGCGTAAACATAAAACCATGTCTACATTTGTGATCGGAGAAATGACAAAAAAAGTCTAGCAACTTTAGGGATCTCATCTATTCACAAACAGCTTGTAACACTCCAAAGAGAAAGGAAAACTTGAAATCGCATCATATGACCCCTTTAACATTATATAATTTGGTAGACAACTAGCTGTTCAGATTTCATAGTGACTTTAATGTGATGAACTACGAGTTTATGCTGCTAGGACACCAGGGTACTGACTTTATTCATCGATTAAAACCACCTTGACACCAGCAAAAGTTCTCGCAACATTTGCTTTTCGACTGGTGACTTAAATAGTGCATGTTGTTTGTTTGTTTTTTATTTATTTTATTTTTTTCCCACATTTGTACGGGGCAGACCTGATTGATGCGAGGTCTTGTAGAGCCAGCCGTATGAGACGAGCCATGGGTGTGAAGCCTGTGCCGGCTGCTAACATGTAGAGATGAGTGACATCATGCAGGATTCGCATACTGAAGGACCCCTCAGGACCACCTACTGACAGAGAGGATCCTGGAGCAGGCCAGAAAGATGACAGGAGTTAGTTTGTGATTCAATGCAATTCCAGTTTTCATGTTTATTTTCAAACTGAAACTTACTATTTGTTTTATTTGTGCTTTTTTGTTCATTCTGTATGTGCAAAACAGGGTTGTGAGCCATGAAATGAGAAAGCTATTTAGTTATCATTCAATCCAAATTTGAACTGAGATACTAAACAAGGCCCACCATTAACATTTGAGTTTGAAAAAAAAAAAAAAAAAGTTAAGAATTAAAGTGAACTAAAATTCAAAGAAATCCGTTTGGTTTAACAGATCTTACAAACCGGTTTATGGACAAGGGAGGGGTTCAAATTCCAGCTCATGAATTGCCCAACCATGGTGTAAAATCATGTAATGCTGTTTCTTTCTTTAAAAAAAAAAAAAAAAAGATATGAGAAGTTACTAACCAATAGGAAGGCTGGCGAGATGCGAGGTCAACAATCCATCAGGATAGATCTTTATCATAAGATTTAAGTCTGAGCCCATTTCAGCACTGGATTGTGAGGGAGGTATTAGCGACTGATCCACTGGTGTGTAGGGTTTCACAACATCTGTACCTGTGCACCAAACACACAAAACCAGCCTGCTGAACACTCCATAAAACTATCACCTTCCATCGGTTCTCTTTAGATCAGTAGAGCATGAGCTGTGACAAAGTGTCGTATTACCCTGGAGAGATGTTTTGAGGTAGACGTGTCTCCCCACAGGAACTTGCATATTTGACCCTGGAGGAAGTTGTAAACACAAGACCTGCGTGTCGTGTGTGACGTCTGATTTCGAAACCAACACGCATTCCCTGTAGGAGAGCTCTGTGATCAAACAAATGTTATTAAACCTTACTATTATTATTCGTTTATGTTTTACAAAGTAATTTCTTAAATGAATGAATGAGGAAGTGAGGAGGGAGTTAGGTAACTGAACAAATTTACTAACTAGTTATATATTAAAATATTTGTATAAGCCAAAATATGTGTTTAAAAATTTACTTCGACCTAGAACTGTACAAGGGTACTAAGATTTGTAATTTTAGAGTTTAAAATTATGCATATTTGATTGAATATGAATGCCTTTAATAGTAAAAAATATTTTTTTCCCTCTGTATTTAGAACCAAATCTGAAGTTTAGAAATTTTCCAAAAACAACAGAAACAATAATAAATAAAAAAAATTCACGTATAAGCACAGTAGTAAAAACATCCACATAAAAATTAGAATTTGCTTTAGGAACACAGTAAATAATTTAACACTAAAATAATTACATACAGAACAAATAATAAAGGGTGCAATACCGAGCCTTGTGGTACCCCTTTATTTCATGTTATGTTACAAAACAAAGTAGTATCTCAAATGTGTTCCTCTATGCCTCTATCTTTACAAAATTAAACATCAAATTCTCTGAAATTTAGATACTTTTCTGACAATCAAGATCATAGGTTTGTTACTCACCACGATCTTTACACTGAATAAATGTGTCATGGTGTTCTAGTGGTTGCCCCACTTTCGTCCACTTGTCTTTGACAGATTTGTGCAGACAAACCTGAACTTTTCCTACAGAGTGGGCTGTCTGGACTATAAGCACAGGACAACAGGGAAACACTTCTTTAGAATGAGAAAAATAAATGATTGATTATTTATAATACGCATAATGTTTAAATAGTAAGACCATGTAAATGCTGTAGTAAATTAAAATAGTAATGAATCAGTAGCAAGGTACTGTACTCTTCAATGGATCACAGTAATATTAGCTGACACCATCACTCCACCATGGTATGGCTACAGTACTTTTTGTACAGATAATTTTCAATATAATTCTAGATTCAACACAAAAAAGCATGTCTAATTTAACATACAACTCACCATCAACACGTCCTTGAACTTCACTAGACAGGCCTGAAAAGAAACAGTGTTATCAACTTGATATAGAACAATACACAATGTTCATCTCTAAGTGGCTGAAGAAATGCAAAAAGACCCACGCCAGTAGAGAAGGTACGACATCTTCCCCAAAAGCATCTCCACCCGAAGAGTATCACCCTGTAGATCCACCACTGCACAGCCAGCACTGGGAATCTGGTGAGGGGAAAATAATAGAGAATTTGACTTTTTTTTTCTTTTATGTTTGAGAAAAGACAACCAGATAACCACTGCATTTAAGGAAAATGAGTTGACACCGACCTTTCGTTTGGTGTAAACAATGATATTGACAGTGCCATCTGTCTGGAACCAATAATATCTAAAAATGAAGAATAAATATACAGAGAATCAGCCAGTGTGACTTCAGTTAGGTGAGGCTGACAAGTTTACTTTTATTTGTCTAAATTTTGTCTAGCATTCATTTATTTTAATATTATGTAATTATTTTGTAATGTAAAATACAACCTACTTTTTTTATAAAATACTAATATTTTTAGAGCGCTGTTAGTAAACTTTCTCTGAGTAGTTAGGAAAAAAAAAAACAACTCTCTGGTTCACAGGCTGAATCTACCTGGGATCAAACATGTAAACTCAACATTACTAGCCAAGACCATTATTCAATTGACCACAACGAGCCCTAAATGCTGCATAAAATGCAGACCAGATGATACTGTACCAAGGAATGAGTCACTCAGTATAATGTTTATTATAATCATGACATAAGGAAAAAACATACCGAGGGCGATGATCTTTGGCAGGGAGAGGAGAAGATAAGGGCTCCTGTCTTGAAGGTGGAGGAACAGACAAACCTGGTATGAAGAGTACAAAACACATAATTACTCCTCATGAGTCAAATAAGTAATTAAGTAATAGCATACTCAGCATTTATAACTAGAAATCTGCATAGTTGAACTACGGCTTTGATGTCATACCGTTCATGTGAGCGCTCTCCGTCTTCTCTGTCTGAGCTGCAGGAACCGAAGAAACATGTAATGAGGCATTAGAACAAAAACTAAAACAACAACATCAGAAATCTTATTTCGGCTTTGGTTCTGAAAGTAAAGGAATATTCCATTCCATTAACAGCATGTTAATTAGTACAAAAAAAATATTTCAACTATTGATTATTTCATACAAGAACTTGGCCACAAGGCAGGATGTTTGTATGAGAATAATTATATATTTCCACAAAAATGAATGAATTTCACTGAATTCATTTCTACTACCAAAAGAGCTGACAGAACCTTGAAGAGCAGGACTGGGCTTCACTGCCATCCTCCCCACCAGACACTCCTTCAGCATGGACTCATAATTCACCCACCGATGGACCTTAGGCAGACAAACATCAGCAATAATATTTACAAATCATTTGCAAGCTATTAGTTTATAGTTAATTACATAGTTTATAAAAAGAAGTCTCTACGTTTTTAATACATTATTAGTAAGTGTTCCTAAAATGTTTACATATAAATGTGAATCAATTCACTTTATACATAAACATTTATTTAAATTTCTTTAGTATTAATTAATAACTTTTAATGTAAACAACTCTGGTTTAAAAATCAGACTAGCCTCATTGTTTATATGCAGATACTCATATGTAACATTTACATATTTAAAAAATATATATACTTTTTTTTTGTATGTTCTGATGCATACTAAAATGTAAAGCACAACTGTTCAACATACAATTGAGTCAACTATGTTAAATGCTATTTTATTGTTCACAAATTCAGCAGAATCAACAGATTAATTCCATGAATTCAGCATTCATATTACATAAATATTTGTAGATCTATAAAGTTGTTCACACGTAAATGATTCAAGTTTAAATGTAAGTAAATGTGCATGCGGTAGAACCGCACATAAAATGCATTCAAATACACATGAGATCATGTTGTTAAAAACAAACCTACTGTAACTCTTTACATATGAGCTAATTAAAAGGGGGGGAAACAATGTAAAGTCTATTTATAAACTTTGAATTAACTAGTTTGCACATTATTTATAAGTAATTGTAACTGTATTCTTAATATGAAGTGTTAAACACACAAAAATTGAGAGCAAAATATGGACATAAAATATGGTTTTCTGAAAGCACTGTTTTCAAACGCTCTGCCCAGAGAGCATTTACCTGGTCAAACAGGTCAGTGCTATCAATCCCAGCAGCCCTCATTAGCTCCTCCCCACCAGGGTGGAAATCCATGTAGGCACTCACGTTATAGACCATACCTACAGAAAACACACAAACATACAGAGTCATGTGTACATCTGATCTGACACAGCCCTAACATCTTTTATTTCTTGTCTGGATACAAACTGAACTGAGAGAAGTCACTTATGCTCACCAAGGCTGCATTTATTTCATGAAAAAATAGTGTTAAAAAATATTATTACAATTTAAAATATCAGTTTTCAGTTTTAATATATTTTAAATGTATTTTTAATTTATTTCTCTGTTTGCATAAGTGAATTTTCAGCATCATTAATCCAGTGAAATCATTCTAATATGCTGATTTGCTGCTCAAGAAACATTTATGATTATTATCAAAGTTGAAAACAGTTGTGCTGCTTCTTATTTTTGTGGAAACCATGATTTAAACATTTTTTTTATATTATAAATGTCTTTACTGATATATTTGATCAATTAAATGCATTGTTTTTTTGATGAATGTGTTTGTTTGTTTGTTTGTTTCTCTCTTTCTTTCTTTTTTAAAAGTCCTACCGAATCCAAACTTGAGCGAGATACAAAGGTTTTCTTAAAGGGTCATGAAACCCCCCATTTCAGTACTGGTTAGTTCTCACCACAGTTTTAAAAAATGCTAAAAAAGTGGGCATGGTGCGCGGGGGAGGGGGAAGAGGGGAGACAGACAACACACACACAGCTTAGCGTTCTGGCAGTTTCATTTCGCTCCCATCGAGACACAAATAAATGCACAGCCATTTGCACTCTGCATCGAAAACATATATATGAAAGCGCTGTTGCACCTCTGAGAACTTTTAAAGGAACACTCCACTATTTTTGAAAATAGGCTCATTTTCCAAGGAATCAAGGAACTTTGCTGCCATACCATGGGTGCAGCAGGCGCAATGATATTACGCAGCGTTTTCTCCAACAGTTAAAATTATCGGATGCTAACATTGTCTTCTATGATGTGCAACAAAAACACCTCTGCTACAATCTCAGAAAAAGTAGTCTGGGGTTTCATGACCCTTTAAATTAACCTCAGTACGCATAGACCATGGACATAAACTTTACTGAGATGAGTTGAGTTCATGATGTGTATTTTGATGTTATACCTCTAATGCAGGTCCAGCAGTCGTTTCTGGTGTTGTGTTTCTTCAGCTCCTCTTCTGTCACCTCAATCAGTCGACCTCTCAGTCCAGTCAAATCACGTCCACTCTTGGTCAGTCGGATCCAGTCCAAGAGACTGTGACCCGGCTTTAGCGCCACCTGTACTCATTAAACACAGCAGTAAACATACAGTGCTGTACACACAGGGACAGCTGAACGGTAAATATAGAGCCGTCTCGTTTTGCTATGCATTTAAACCACTCATTGCATTATTCCTATGACAATAATGTAGTTCAAGGGACCAACCTTATTTCTGGACTGTCCGGTTGGTGCGACTCTCTGCTGGGATCCAGCTGCCGGAAAAGACTGAGATGGTACATTTAACATATCTGATGCTTTAAAACAAATCCAGTTCCCGAGAAAACCTGCCCAAACACACTAAATATCACTGATTTGAGAAAATATGCTGAATGTCACTGATCAGAGGATTTTACTGATGAGGAAGTGCTATGAGAGTGTTATGAAATGCGACTTCCTCATTTTGGCAGGTGGGTTTATTTTTTTATTTTTTTTTGGAGCTGTCTAACATGACAACATGATCCAGTTCAGCTGCTCGAAAAACACAGAAACACGGAGAAACGTAACGACCACCAGCGATGATACTGCTGTCACAACAGAACCGACAACAGCACTAAATTCCTACTCAAAAGACCGTCGCCAAAATATGACGTCTAAGCGACCATTGCGATTTCATAATAAAAGACGAATATGTGTAGAAATGAATACGAATACTTAAATTTACACATAGCTCAAAATGTAATTGGTCTATCAATATTAACATTAGCTTACAAAAGGAGGACGTGATTCCATGAGCGTATTATTTACTTCTTTATATTACTCTTAACTTGACTGAAACACAAATCTATTATGTGAGTCCTATGATATAATGCCACTTAAAGGGGTCATATGATGTTGCTAAAAATAACATTATTTTGTGTATTTGGTGTAATGAAATGTGTTTATGCGGTTTAAGGTTCAAAAAACACATTATTTTCCACATACTGTACATTATTGTTTCTCCTCTATGCCCCGCCTTTCTGAAACGCGTC